TATCATCAAGTTGTCCAAATTAGTTTTTGTCCAAATTAAAGCTTCAACTTCAATACATCAGTTCCAACCAAATTCACAAAATAAAGCAATGTAATGCTCACAAAGAGTAATGACATCTTATGAAAAAAAAAATTTAAAAAATCCCATCTTTGTCATGACCAGGTATTCTTTGACAATTGCCATTAATTGTGTTTTTCTAGTTTGTACCTGATTTTCATATCAATCACTAAATTGTAGGAAATCTCTATGCATTTGTATATTCTCCACTAAAGTCTAAAACATGAAAACTCCTCGCAAATTGTGTAACTTGGATTATTATTAAATCATTTACGTGCTTCATCAACTAAAATAATATTGCGGCAATGTTAGTCAGATGAGCCAAATTCCAAAAACAGAGGATAAATTAGGGGAAATTAAAGCAGGATTTCAATTCAAATGCATGCAATCAAAATGGTGAGGTAAGTCTATCTTTATTTGTCACTAACTGAAAATTAGGAGATCTGATTTGAGGATTTCCTGAATTAATTAATAAATTAAGCATGTTCGTTTACCTGCCAATTCAGAGAGCTAAACTATAAAATTTTGACTACAGATTGAATTAGATATATGAATGAAAGAAATGAAGAAATTTTGGAGATGTCAATCGAGAATTTAGGATAGTGTTGAACAACCATTCTTTTCTGCAGCTCATATAATACAAGCATTATTCCGAGCGGGCAATTGATCCCGTTCAAGATTACAAAAGACTGTTGTAAGATTCGACGTTATGTAAGGATATAATTAATTAATTAACTTGATCATTAAGTTCAACTATGAAGTACATAGATTACGCGCTCAAAATAACTCATGCCTATCATAAAAATTAAATAAATATATGTGTCGAACTATAAGAAATATTGTACATAAATAAACGCTTTTGTGGTTGGTGCTTATTGGTTTTAGAGATGTTCATTACCTAGAGGATGAGTCATTTGACTATTTGAGCTTATCAAAAGCAGGTAAATACCTACATATTTTCTTTATATTAAGAGAGTTATTTAAGGTTTCATGTCATCTTTCATCTTTTTATTTAAATTCTAAATAATATTTTAATAAAATTGGCACATAACTAACTAACTCTCAAGTGTTGTAGAGACTGTTATAGGAATCGTAAATTTATCTTTTCCTGATAGAGTTTTCACGTTATAAAAAGAAATGAAAACAAGTATTATAATATAGTGTTTCTGTCCAAAAAAATAATTTATATGGACTGTTGAATTTAACGTGGATAATTTTTTTTAATAAAAATATAATATAAACAATTTATTTGGGATAGAAGAAGTAAGATGTGTGTGTGTGTGTATATATATATATATATATATATATATATATTTTTTTTTTATCCAAAAAAATAATTTATATGGAGTGTTGAATTTAACGTGGATAATTTTTTTTTAATAAAAATATAATATAAACAATTTATTTGGGATAGAAGAAGTAAGATATGTGTATATATATATATATATAATGTTTTACCAAATTATATATATAGTCTGTCGGTCCTAATTATCTGATACAAAGTTAAACTAAATTTAATATTAATTTGTGATTTATATAATTAAGGCTAGAAGGAATACAACATTACTAGACTACCGAAAAAGACAAATTGAGCTTATGATATGTATAGTTGTATACATGATTTTCACGTTAACGTCATCTTAACTATCCACTAAGTTGGTCAAACTGAAAATCTAAGCAAAGGAAACATTCATCAGTTTATATGTTACTATCTCCATCGATGCAAACAATGCCAAAATCGGGTATTCAATTTGATTAAGATTGCTAATTAAAAATTGCTGGCAAGGATATACATCAAGTTGTCCAAATTGTCTATAGCTAGTGACACATACATTATGAGTGAGGGTTTTCTTGATGCCTTTGAGTTTCAACAACTTAGCTTTACGTTTACGTGCGTATGCTTGGATTGCATGCGTTTGAATAGAGTTGTTTAGTAAGCAAAGAACTTATTTATTTATTTTTTTTGTTTTGCTTTTGTTTTTACCTTTGGTTACAACATGATTTCACATTTCAGGGACCATTTTGGACAGTGTGATAAGTGATGATACTTTCTGTTGTACAGTTTAATTGGGCAAAAAATTAGGAAATCACTTTCGAGGAAAATGTTGCCCAATAAATGAGTTGATCAAGCATTTGTCCAACTGGCCAATTCGGAGAACTAAAATAGATAATTTTGACTACATATTGGATTGAATGAATCATGAAAGAGATGAAGACATTTTTTTGAGAGAAAGAAATTTAGGATCAACCATATTCTTATCAAATTATTTGAGTGGTGTAGAACAACCATTCTTATCCGCGGAGAATATAAAATACAAGTATTATTCCGGAATAGGCATTCGATTCCGTCCAATGTTTCACAATATTGTTGTACTCTTACCGTCCCGGAATATTTCCAGTTCAAATTTTTATTTTTAACTTAAATTATATTAATGTAAAAATTCAAATTACTTCCATTTCTTCCTATACAAAGAAGGGCAAAGTACAACTAAATTATACTATAGTATAATCAGAATAAGACATATCACATTGTATTTTAACTCTTAAAAGCGGCTCATCTTCCACGGGCAGACCTCACCAAAAGAATCATACAAGAAGGTAAGTAGTCGGCTGCATTCCATTTAGAAAACTATTACTCTCTCCGTCCCATAAAAATAATCCACATTGAGTTTTGAGTTTTGTACTATTTTTAATATAAATTTGAAAACTAAATATAGACTATTTTTGTGGGACAGAGATAGTAATCTTAACAATTATAAAAATACATGTCAAATTATTATTATAAGTAATATAATTACACTTAAATGGGTAAAACTAAAAGTGCGAAGATTTGAAACGCATGTGTTATTGGTTTTGAAAACCTTCATACAGTTCCTATCTCGATACATACACAGCTTGAGAGATGACTCATTTGGCACACTATAACAAAAAGCTACCAAAAGTCTAATCACACACTATAGATGACCAAATTAACTGAATTACATTGTTATCGAGGAAGTCTAATTTATAAACATAAACATATTATAATTATAATATTTTGTCTTAAAAAATTGAAGTCGTCGAAAGTAATATCCATTCAAAGGGAAAACGACTACAAAACCCCAAAAAACGAAAAGAGAAGACTTTTGAAAGCAAAATTTAACAACAATAATACAAAGGACTTGCAAGAAATTTAACATCTCGTATCTCTGCAGCCGAATGGACCTACGCACCTACACATTTTGTCAACAATTACAAATCAACTAGTTATCATTTTCCAACAAAGCCAAAAAAAGGACAGTTTACAACGATGATCCGATTTTTCATTTGACACATAATTTTTACTTTGTTATTGTAAATGGCTATTAGGTTTAGTGAAATTCTATAGCTACTTGCAACCATAACTATTGAAATAATTTTAGAATCGGAGTTGGCCAAACATATATCGCACTCATTCTATCTCACAAAAAATAGTTTATTTTTTGAGTTTTGTAATTTATACTAAAATTAGTACAAATTTAAAATTTAATATATATATATATATATATATATATATATTTAGGATAGAGGTAGTAGAAAAATTTACATTTTTTTTGGTTCGCAAACATAATGATATCGTACTGAAACCATCGGGTGAGAAAATTAAGACTACTATTTGCCAAATTCTATTTGTTATATTAAAATAAGGAGACAACCTATCATCTCTTTAGTCTCATGATAGGGCGTTTAAACTACACTGGCGCGGTGGCGCCTCTTCAGTTATTTCATTGGTCTCTCCCAAAACCATATTATTAATTTGTTACAAAGCTTAATTATGTACATTGATAACGATTATATTTTAGAAATGTTGGTGATGTAACTTCGTAATTAATTGCTTGAAATTTAGAGGAATATCAATGCTTTGAATGGTCTCTAGCTAGCAGTAACCACTGAACATGAAGAATTATTGAACCTTCCAAATGCCGGTCAGGAGCGATGATCTTAAAGTGCAAGTTGATATAGACTTGATGGAAATAATTAAAAAGCAATTGGCATATATTTTATCATAGATGTCTAATCGTATGAATAATCATATAGACACTTCCAAGTTCCAACTAATTGCAACATGAAGTGAGATGTGACTTGAAGTACAAGTATCAAAATTAATTTCCTTCATCCGTAATTTTTAAGTGAAAGACAGTTAATTTTGCAAATGATAACTATAGGTGATCTCTCCACCCCCCAATTCTCTTTCACGTTAATCTGGATTAGATCAAAAGGCTCATCTAAATTCTGACTTAATTTTGGTGACATTTTCAGAAATTAATATATCAATGCACCAATACATCTTAGATCGTACCACTTAAACATGCTCTCTGTAATGATATACAGCGGTAAAACTGCATACATCTTAAGCCCCCAGACATAACCGAATTGGGAATCTATTGGGTATGCTATTGTTGTATTAATCTGGTGTACAAGACACCACCTATTTTACTACCAATATTAAAGATACAAAATAAGTTTTACCGAACAAACAAAAAGAAAGTCTTAAGTTTTTTCCAAGTTAATTATGGATATCAAAGTTAGCATTTCGTGATGACTTCAACTTCTGACAAATTCATTTCGGCCGAAAGAGAGATCCACTTCCATCCTTATGTTACAAAAGAATTTCAACGAATTTATCAAACTTGAGCATTTCACGCCTCCTTTGATAAATGGGAATAGAGTTCCAACGAAACAAATTTTAACATCTAGTTATAATATGGAAACCTTTTACTTATATAGCTTTGGATTAATTTCTTCGATTTTCATATTACAAAATGCACAACGTTACTTTAAGACATAGAATTTTATTATAGCTATATTTAGTCAAGATACAAAACCTAGAACAGTGGAACATCGCGAATATGATCAGAATTATGCTGCCTTTAAAGTTTGAAGTGGAAACCAAAGAAAAAGGTCGCTGAACACAAATAGCTTTAGAGTGTTAAAAATGTTTTGACTATGTTTGGGAAAAAAACATTGTTCTTTCTATATTGGGAGTGGCCATATTCTGGTCTCCCCTCGTATAAAATGTATATGATAACAGTTCACAACAAATTCCATCTTACAATCATATCTACATTTGACAAAACATATAATTTCAATTTTCTTTTCTTTTTCTGTGTCTTTTTTTTGGGGGAGGGGGCGGGGGGGTGTTTGAGTTACCTATTATACCTTGTTAGCAAATAGACTTGTATACAAGGAGAGTTACTCCAAACTTTGGAATGCATCCTAAGCATATCTCTTGCATTCTTTTTCAAATGTGCTTCACAATTTGCTTGAAGCACCATGCAAAGCTTAGAAACTGCTCCAACTCTCAACATCTCAATCAAAACTTCATCGGTGGCCGAAAACCTAGTAATCTGCCCAAATATGTGCATGCAACTCTCGTCGGTTGCCGGCGTATTCCTTAAAAGCCTCTTGGAAACCATTGCGATTCCGGCACGATGCATCAACAACTGCGCTCTCCCATCGGCACAACTACACAGTTGTGCTAGAAGAGAGAAGATGAGCTCAGAAGTTCGCTTCTCGGGTTGCCTTAACTCGAGCTCGATTAAGTCAAAAACCGCCCCCGAGTCAATGATCTTCATTCTGTTATTCCCCCAAGGACATAATTTGATCAAAACATGCAATGCAGCTTTGATAGCTTGTTGGGGAAGTTTGTGATCACCGCGTAAAACCCTAGTCACGACCCCGAAGAACTCGGGCTTTAGTTGCGACATTAGGCCAGAGCTCGCTACTTCCCCAATCATTTTCAAGATCTTCAATGCATGAGTTCTAACCACATCATGATTCTCAATTTTCTCAATCCTCAAAACCCAAGTCAATGCTTCGACGAACTCATAATTTCCGGCGAATATTTCCTTGTTTTCGGCCGAGGGATTCCAAATCAAATAGAGTAACTTCAAGGCTTGTTCAATGCCATTGGTTTTGTTTTCTTTAAAACACTTTACGATCAACAAAACCAACACCTTGATCAAGCCAGCTTCCACCATGCACCTTCTATTCCACTTAACATTCTCATTGGCAAGTTCAAACAATTTCTTCAAAGCACCGACACATAAACCTTCGACTCGGATATCACGAATGAGTTTATAGAGATAAGACTTACTAAGAGGCGATTTCGGGGTCGGAATCCGATCGATTCCATACTCAGCGTTTGTCGTGCACCATGCTTGGATCAACCTTCTCAGCATAACATTGGGTGTTAGATCTGAATCCTTAGGAAGAATCTGCTTCGTGATCGGGCAATACGCCGGCGAATCTTGGTCGGAAGTCCTTAGCCATTGTTCAATGCTTTCCCGATCATACGTTATACCCGTTATAGTTGTGACTGGATCTTTCATGATTTGAAGAGAAATAGGGCATAAGAAAAACTGGGGTATCTCTATTTCTTCCATTTTCTACAACTTGCAACAACAAAAAAGGGATGCAAACAATTTAAGGTCAGAAAAGTTTTGAAGTTGGAAGGAAGAAGATGGACTTAATTTTTTGATGAGAGAAGAATGGAGAATGAAATTTTTGGTTATATAGTGATGACATAATAAATAACATAAAGAAAATCTGGTAAAAGAATGCGGCTGCTTCAAAATTTTGGCATATGGGGGATTGAGTCGAAAATAAGACCAAAGACTAAGTATGAATATTCTAGATGAGTCGTTGTTTTGAAGTAACGAATTTCGGAAAGTGTAACTTTCTTTTTTTCATTTTCTTTTTTGTTTGTTTTTTTATTAGTTTGGCCGGCTCTATATGGAGTTTTTCGGTTTGTGTTGTGGGATGATGTATTTGATTTGGACTGGTCAACACTTGGGAAATTTTCATGTATTTCTTTTTCTTAAAAAATTTTTAGTTGTACGTATGATTTAGAACTTTGACTTTCAAAGGCTTGGCTGCTTTTTCTAGACAAAATGGGGTCTTCGAGTCAAGATAGAAAATGATACAACAAATCTAATCAAAGGGCCGGATCAGATGGGATCATCCGTCTTAAACGCCTAAAAAGCAATTGTAAACTAAACCAACGTGAGGGATTAATTTTTCCTATATAGGAAAATGAGTTCCAACATTTTGGTATCATTTTGGGGTGGGTGTTATGGATTTTTTTTTTCTTTTTTGTGTGTTGGTGTCTCAATTTATTCGAAATTGAATACCCACTACTCCCTACATTCCAAAATAAATGTCGTCGGAGGAAAACTCATTTTTTTCAAAATATATGTCGTTTTTGCATTTCGAGGCATGTTTTGTCAATTTCTTCCATATTACCCCTACATGGGAAATTGTAATTGTGTTTAAAGTAAATGTATATTAGAACTAAATAATATTGAAAATAGGATTTCATTGAAAGTAAATGAGGGTAGATTAGTATTTTAACTAAGTATTTATTATGCTCTTAAACTTTTTGCAACTCCCCCAGTGACATCTATTTTGAATGGAGGGAGTATTATGTATGATCCGGTAACTTTTACCCTGCTCCAAAAAAAAAAAAGTTTTTATTTAGTACTCTCAATTAAATGGTTTTAAAGTATTTTTTTCTGTTCTAAAAAAAATTAATTCACATTGAGTTTTTAAATTTGTACTAAAATAGAAAAATTCAAAATTCAATATGAATTATTTTTTTTTTTCTAGATAGAGGTAGCAATCTCTTTACTATATCGATAAGAGTAATGATTGGTACAAGGAAAAAATCACAAGAAAAAATTACAAGGAAATGATCTCACCCATCCATTATTAAAACTTTCCAAACAGGGATACATTTAATGTTAGGACATAATTAAGATCTTGACACATCATTACTTGTCATTTTTTCTTATTATTTTTTCCTTGTACCTATTACTACTCGATGGATAAATTGTTTGTTTGGGGGTCAATGTGATGTTATAATATTAACTTAAAACTACTGTAGTTGCAAATGAAATCATAAAATTCTAAATTATCAATGTTGACTTTTTCGTCCTTTTTTCAAACATTTATAAAATAAAGACAATATTCAAATTAAAAAACTTAAGTTTTTCACCGAAAGTGATTCTGTTTTCTGAAATATTACCGGTTTGTCTTACATAATCTCTCGAAAATTTAACTATATTTTAAAATTTCATTATGTAATATTGACTATACTTCAATGGATTATCGAAATGGGGATGGAGGGAGTAAATGACTATTCTCACACATTCATTACGATTCAAATTATAAGCTTCTGTTGTTTTCCAATTCATTTCATTTAAAGAACAAATCATATTCGCCTTCTACACTATTAACAAAAACAAAAACGAAACATTCATTTTAGAGGATCTTCATGAGGGTCCAAATAAAAATGTATTACATTCAGATCACGATACAAAGAAAAAAAAACAACAATGAGTTCAAAAGGAAAATTTGTCAATTCAAAACTTATTATTTGTTGACCTGTCAAATTATCGTTTGTTCACGACAATTTTAAATAATGTGGTGATAGTAATATATGGCAATTCATGTATTATGCAAAATATTTAACTTACTTTGTAGAATGCCTTTTCACAAAAAAAAAAAAAAAACCAAAATAGTTCGTAGAATATTTGCAATTAACTCAAACTTTTTAGTGGTAGATCCACGATTTGGTTCGGCCAATAATAGAGTGGGCTTCCCAATATTATGTAAGTTCGGTCGAACCAAAATAGTTGAAGGAAGCCCCATTGACCAATATGTTTACTTGTTATTTTTTTACCTTTAAAATGTATTTACTTTATCCCGAAATTATTGTTCAATTTGAATTTTTCTTTTAAGTACAAATTGTATATGAAAATTCAAATTGAACAATAATTTTTAGAACATAGAGAGTAGTTTTAATGTCATTTATTATTGCCCATCCCATTTTTTTTGGGGAAAAAGAAAAGATTAATTTTATACATTCATCCAATCTTTTGGCTCTTGGATTTAGTGATCGTGGATTTCTTCCTGAGAAATACAATCATTAGTTTTATCTTTAGTTCCATGATTTGGAACTTTATCAAAAGACTAGTAAGGGCTTTTGGGCCAGATTATCATAAGATTTGAACAGGATAGAGTTTTAAACCTTTACACAACTTGGTTTGTCAGTAGGAAGAGTAACAAGTTTATTAGTAACATTGTAATTTGATTGTTTGTTAAGGAGTCAATGAATAGTTCTTTTGTTTATTAATGATTCTCTAGTTTGTTGTTTTTTTTTCCCCCTTTTTTGTTATAAATTTAGAGTGATTTATTAATCAGTAATTTCGGAACAGAGAGAGTATTAATGATCATATTTGGCATGTATGTGATTTTACCCTTTGGATTGTTGAAGAACTGCTTTACTATATGTATCCTTGTTGACCATTGAATTGTTAAGGCAGATCATATCTTCAATTTTGAATAACAATAGTAGAGATGTTTCTAATGGGTTAGTTTGAACAAAACGAACAATGTTAACGTAATTTTTCAAAACGCAGTAATTTTTTAAAATGAAGAAATGAGGTTAATTCTTACTAAATTTAATTATTCAAATTTTGTTTATTATTGATTCAAAGTTGAGTCAATTTAAAAATAATAGATTACGATATGAAATTTTCTAGAAACACTAACTTTTCATACTGTCAGCCATCTCGTTAATTAAAATATTAGAATTAAGTCTCATTATCCAAGATAAAATATATTCATCCTTGCCATGCGTAAAATTGCGGCCCATTCAAAATTTTCAAAGACTCGTGTTTATGTTGCATGGATGGAGTTTGAAAAATAACCCAGTGGCAAAACTAATCACTCATTAATCACCATCTATAGTATTTTGAGTCTGCAAAACACATACTAGTATAATTCTCGCTTATATGTGTTTTGGGGGCTTTGTTTATATTGTTTAAATTTATGTGTTTTAATTTGGCAAAAAAAAAAAAATTCATAACACATCACAAAAAACTCAATATATTTTTTTTTTTGAAACGGAGGAAGTAATTGATTTTGTTGTAGATAGATAATATTTTCAGGACAGATGGAGTAATATTGTTGACATTGATAATCAAGTGGTTTATTCATGTTATAATACGTACAACACTAGTCACTAGGTGTAGTGAAAGAGTAGACTAGTAAGCATTGTTTTGTTCACGTTCTTTTTTAAGAAACTAATAAACAGATTTCGTCTTATTTGAAGAAAACATTTCTTCATGATCATCAATTATCTTCAGCTGACTTTTCAATTCACTCCAGAAGTTGATCAAAAAAACAAACAAAATCACTCGAGAACAAACAGATTTCGTCTTATTTGAAGAAAACATTTCTTCATGATCATCAATTATCTTCAGCTGACTTTTCAATTCACTCCAGAAGTTGATCAAAAAAACAAACAAAATCACTCGAGAACAAAATTTCTTACCTATGAATTAATGCTTTGAAAACAAACTGATATTGTGGAGATCATGAAGGAACCTTAATTTGAACAGTTTCATTCATCAACAATACCGATTAGATACTCTCTACATATATGCATCTCAATTATTTTGTTGGCAACAATTTGAGAACGGAACAGGTACGCAATATATAATTAAATTAACCAAAATCAAGGGCCCAAACATATCAATTGGCGCGTTGGGTGAAGTGTGATCTTGCTGATACCGTCTTTTCCTCAATTAATAAAACGTGATTAATTAAAAAAAGAAATTCACCAACATCATTTCCAAAATCTAGCTTTGGTGTAACATGGACTGCATGTTTTGTTTCCTTTTTCCTCCTTTCTTCTAATTGTCACTGTGTGCGCTTGTTGTTCGTGTAAACGTCGTAGTTAATTTTATGCTGCTTCACCGCTCTTTTTCGCCCTTTTTCATGTTCTTTTTGCCATATAATTCAACAAAATATACTCTTTTTGACCAAAAGAAACATTATAGTTCACATTGAAATTGTAAGTTGTAGTTATTATTTTTAGAAACGGAAAAAATTAATTATTAGAGTTTTTTTTTTCGTTCTATCTTTTTTTTTTTTTTTGGTGAACGTGCTATCTTTTTGGTATATTATGTATTCGATTGTCTGAAGTTTGCATTTGTCCACAACTTTCTAATAGCCATACAACACATCATACTAATACCATCCCGATCACTAACCACGGAAAAAATTGGAAAATCTACCTAAAACTTTACTTATTTCGTTAATCCTACCTTATTAATTTTCTGTTAGACTATATTACCCGTATTTATGACTTTTTCGCTAATTTTCTCCAATTGGCTTAGTTCCCATCCAAATTAACGAACTTCCATTAGTTTTTCGAAAACATAATAAATATAATTACAAAGACACCCCAATAGTTTCAACAAATATAATAATAACCCTAAAATATATAAAAGTAACAAAAAATGTCCATTTTTTTATTTGTTTTTTCCTGTTTAATTATAATTCTCTTTACTACTTTTCATAACCATAAAAATATATTATATGATCTTTGCTACTGTTGCAACATGTGTTTATTATATGTGGAGAGCAAGGAATCAGACTATATTTGAAGATAACACACCCACTGTGGAGTTCATGTTCCAAAAGATCCAACAAGAAATTAAATGGCGTGTTCGATCATGTTTTACGAAGGTGAATTTAAAGGATCGTAGATTTCTGCAAGACTTGAAATCAGTAGACTAGATTGGAATTCTTGGTAC